GGCGGAGCGGAGCGGCCGACTGAGTTTCGTTTCCCCCGGGCGCCTCCTCCCGCGAGGCTCCCGCCGGGTGCCGGAGAGCCGGGAGAGCGCCGGGACGGGCGAAGACGCGAGGCTGGACGGCTCTGCTCTGATGTTTGCTCCGTTAGAGACCGCTGCGCTGTACCGGGATGGGCCATCTACACGGCTGAGCCCCACCGGAGCTCCCCACGCCAGCCAGAAGGCCCAGTACCGGCCCAGCTCTTCCTCTGCTGGCGACTTGGTCCGAGGATTTGGGTTGACTGTAGAAATGAACTGTGACACGGAGCTCCCCGTGACCTGGCCTTGACTTTTATTTACTCTCCAAAAAAGTTGCTGTTATCTGCACGATTTCATTTTCACAGGGAATTTCCCGGTTTTGTAACAAATGGTATCAGATTGCTGACATGGCTGGTCTACTGACCCATCCGGGAGAGCGAGCAACACAGCAGCATGGGACTTGCAGAGCCCCATCCGTGTCAAGTTTAGGCTACTGGATGGACTGAACTCTTCTGAAGTCATCCTGGGTTACTCAGGTCATCGCAAAATAACAACTAACATATGTCAAACCAAATGAAGACTGACATTGTTCCTTGTACAAGTCAGAAGGTGCTTTGCTATTGATTTCAAGGGCTGCAGGATTAGGTTGTTAAAAAGATTTGCTGAACCAGCATGTGAGCTAGAATGAATCGGGTTGCGTGGGAAGAAAGAGTGGGAACACAGGGAAGTTTACGGGAGCGTATCAGCAAGCAAAACTGCTGCAGATTGCTCAGAGTTGGATGGTGATGAGCTGGCTGAGACAGGCAGAATGATGATCCAACTCAAACCATTCTTCTGCACTATTGGGGGGGGGGAAAAAAGAGTTAATCTCACTAATCCCTGCAAGAATTGGCACTTCCTCATTTCTGCAGAACAGGAGAACTATTCCGGGTATCTCAGCAATTGTCAGCAAAAGATGGAAGCCTCACCAGAAACCTAGTCTGCAAGACTTCCTCTTGATGTGCAAACTAAGGTTATCTGAAAAGAAAAATTAAATATCTGAACGCCTGGCTGCTTGGCAGAACCAAATCTCAGACTTGGTTTTGAGACAAGAAAATACTCAGTGCACTGTGTCAGCCAATGCAAAGCTTCACGAATTCCTGCACAGAATGGATGTAAGTGGTATCTGATCAGGAGGCACTCGCCCTCCACTTCCAGCGCTGGTCCTCATTCATTGAGTGTCTTCAAGCAAGTCACTGAAGATAACACTTTTAAAACTAGTTTCTGCCTTTCAATGCTCAGACTAATCAAGCTCATTAAGCTTCATCTGTTTTTTAGGAGACAGATCAGCGTATGTTCGTCCTGTACTCATGATGTGTTTGCTGGGGCACTATGTGGGGTTGCTTTGGAAAAATTTGGTCTTCACATGTTGGATTTGCCACTCATAAAAAAGGCAAACAGCAGAGACTGTTGAAAGCAAGGAACTAGGAGTATTTTTCATAAGAGTGATTCCATTACAGTATCCTCCACAATTCAAACTTGACTTTTATTTTTTACTGTGCCAGAAATCTAACACTGTGAAAGACATTAAACCCACACTGTTGAAAACAGCCATGTCCCTATCTGGACAGGAGCTGCCTGACTCTGCTCCTGCCCGAGAAGAACATCCAGTGACTCCAGCATGAATTGGTATCTTAGATCTATCCAACAGGACACCCTGCATCTTCCTGATAGGAGACGGTATCTTTGCCTCTTGGTCACTGTCCCTGTGGACTCACGTAACAGATGACCCCATTCACTGGCAGGATATATGCCACTGGCTGGATTGTCAGGTACATCCTTCAGGATGTACAGGAGTCCTTCTGACATCAGATCAAGGCAAGAAAAGGAGGAGCTGATGTAATAGCACCTGCAGGAGTTCTCAAGGAAATGCATGCCAGCCCTTCTGGAGTCAGACTTTCTCCATTGACTTTGGGTTTTTTTTCCATAGGACAACACTGGATGATTCATCCCTACGTCAGGCTAGGAAGGCCTCCTCTGCTCAAAAGCAGGGAAGGGTAGGAAGAGAGAAGGCACTTCAAGCAAGGTTCTGCAGGGGCACAGATAATTTCTGAATATCTGCACTCCCCCTTACTCATTTCTCTGCTGCCACCCTTCCTGTGCCTATGGCTGTTGAAAGAAGCAGCCCTTTGTACTAGAGTCACTGCAGGGCCTTGAGCACCATCCTTGCCAACAGAAAGAGGCCACAGAGCAGTGTTGAACAGAGCCCCAAGAAGTGCAGTTCACCGGAACTCAGTGCTAGTCTTAACCAGTCAAAGGCTGGGCAATGACTCCATTTAAGGCGTCTATCCACTCCCTCTGCTCCCTATCATTCTCACATATAAACACAAACTCTCTCATTGGCGTGACCACAGTGATCGCTGGTTTCCTCTTCTTCACCCGGACTCCCTGGGGCAAGCCAGCTCGTACTTCATATCCCTCATGCCTCTTTCCAATAAAAACTTGGCCCTGTGCAAATGCATCCTAGAAAGAAGGAAGCAGAAGACAGCCATTAGCCAGTGGACAGCGCAGCTCCAGCAGACACTGTTCTATCCTTTGACATGGAGCAGGAACTGGGTATGTGTGAAGGGGACACCGATTTGGTGACGGGCAGCAGGAAACACAACGGAGTTTTTTTTACACTCACGGGCATTCTCAGAAGGTGGCGGTAGGGACCCATCCTTACAGAGCTGGTTGGTGGGTGTTCAGGAGCAAGGAAAGATATTCTCGTGGCTAGAGCAGTGCTAGGAAGCAGGATATTGGGGCTGCCAAGCCTCTGTTATTGGTGTATTGCTCATCTTGCCTAAGGTCAGAGGCACAATGGCAATAGGGCCGGGAAAGAGCAGGCTATAAACGCTACAGGCAGTAGCAGATACTGTTAAAAGACTTGGATCTTCCTCACAGCCACTGTAAGGGCCAGAGTTCCCAAACAGCTCAGCTCCAAAGAGATCCATTGACAAGGGAGATGAGCTCTTGAGACTGAGCCTGCTTCAGTCTTGCGCAGCCACTGGAAGAGCTGGATGAGAACAGACTCTTCCTCCCCACCCAACTTCATGAAGGGGCTTGTGGAATAACAAACACTCCTCTTACCAGTGGATTTTTAAAGTACATCAGGTTCCTTTCTTGAGAATCCAGGCAGAACCAGCGCACCTTAAAGGCCTCCTTCTGCTGCAAGGAGATGGTAGAAGTTCTTTAAAGACCAAGTCCCAAAGGGGAGTTCGGCCTATTCAAGGCAGATCCCTGGGCTGCTTAAATGACTTGGAGCTTGAGTTCAGTTTCATTCATCCCTGTGAGTCCCTGCTGTGTGCAGCCCGCAGCTCCCTTCTCCCCGGGTTCAAACTAGAGATTTGCATTCAATGACAATCCTTTGGGTAAGGCAGGGTAGTTTGGTTGTGATCAGATTACCAGGATTAAGAAAGTTGCAGCAAACGGATTAATTGAAAGCACAGCAGAGAATGATCCCTGGGCCAGTGGCGATAATGAGGAGGGCGTGCAATCAATTTCAGCATTTTGGTTTGGGGGGTTGTCCCTAGCATTGTGGGATGCACAATGGTAGGGACAAATGGTAGGGTTTTTTTTAAAGTGCTAATTCCATCAACTACACTCATCTGACCATTCTCTGAGCTATTCATTGCTCCATGCTGAACTGAAGGCTCCTGTCTAGGGCTCACTTCAGTTTGAGCAGAATTTAGGCCTCAGGAGAAAAACACATGATCTTTCATGCTTGTAGCTCTGAGCATTCTCTGTGCAAGTACCTGCAGGAAGATGTATTGGGACAGTAGCACTGAGCTGGGCCAAAACCCTAAGCATATTCAATATCAGCATTTCACCACAACTTTTTAATGGGACTTCGGCTCATGGTTCACTCAGAGGACAGCAAAGCAAGAAGTGGCAATGTTCAAACAAGACCTCAGATCTTTATCTCCTCCTTCAGCAGAGCCTGGAATCTCCCTCTCCTGTTTCAAGGTGTAGTGGCCCAAATACTTTCCCACAAAAACCAAACCAAACCATAGGCTTCACTGTGGAGAATTTGCTCACTCATACTTTGCTGCTATAAGCAGATGTGACTTATGTGCTGCTGACTTTAAGAGAAACGGGGAAGTAGGGGAGTCAGCATGTGATGTTCTGTTCTAGCAGGAGCTGCAGTTAGCAGATACAGCTATCCATCTAGCATTGTGTAACAGGACTTTGCATGCCCACTGCCAGCTAATCCTTTTTGCTTACTCTTCAAGGAGGATTCTTCTTCCCAGTCTTATTTTCCACACAAAATAAAACATGATCCCAGAGAACACAACAGGCTTGAACATAATGTCTTTTATCAACCCAGGAAGCATATAGTCACTCAACAAACCATTTACTAGTAAACATCATAGAATTATCAAATATTCTCCATCTGGAATGATCCTGTTTGTGTACTGCCAAGTATGCACTTACTTTTGGTCCTGTTTTCTCCATATATCCTTCTTTGACATAATTTCTTGTGATCCTGGGTATGAGCTAGGAGAACACAAACACACAAAAAAACCTCTGTCTCATTCAAGCTTGCTTTTCTGTTCTGTTTCTGTCAAAGCTAATCACCATAACTTTTGGCTTTTGGGGCCTAGGGTTTTTTTGGCTGCTCAGTAAAGAGAAGTCTGAAATAAGAAGGAACATAAGGTTTTTGAAATATTACACTTTATAAGGACCACATGGGAGACTTTTAGGCCTTAAATGTTGACTACGTTTTTGCATATTATCCAGTGTGGCCTTTCCTTCTACCTCTTCTGTCCAGTCTCAAGACCCATATGCTGCTGTTTGAGCACCTGACTCTGGCAGAAGTGAGAAAATGTTTTCCCATGCTACGTTTGCACAGACTGCTTCAAGCCCTGTTCAGTTCTCACCTCAGGCTCAGGGACAGCTGGGAAGGTTGTTCTGAGATAATGGTAACGTGCTGCCCGAATGGCATTGAACCAGTCAACAATCTCCTAGGGAAAACACACAGACATACAAACATAAAGACAAGAACAACAAGAAGGAGTAAGAGTGCTGCCTCTCCAAAATGCCTTTATCCTTTCTTGTGACCTCTTTGCAAAGATGTACTTTCTCCCCAAGGGGCAGAGAGAGTCAGTGACTTGTCCCAGACACCTGGAAAACACTGAGCCTCCAAAATAATTTAAAAATGCCCCTCCAGGGAGGTCCCAGACATTCTCAGCATAGACAGTCACCCAAGTCTGTGTACACAGGCTTTTTCAGTTGATTCAGTTATGGATTGTTTAAAAACCTTTGTACCTGGAAAGACATGAGAATTATGGCAAGGGAAGAAACAGAAGTCTAACAAAACCCATAGACATACTTCTTAAAATTATCATTGTTTGCTTGGAAATAATGCAGAACGACAATCTTTTCTATGCATGTCAGGAAGGCTTCAAAGAATATAACCACAGAATTGTATAAAACCGTTAGGCAGTTACCTTACAGAGATTTACATATGTGCCCCACTAAGGCCTTAAGACTATTCAGGTGTGAAGTTGAATATATGCCCCAAGAGAACAGGAACAAGACGTTATAGTTATTAGTGTCAAATTCTGCAACTTTCTATATTCTACAAGTCATAGTGACTTCAAATAAAACCAGATCCTGCAGAAACAGGGTGTCTCTTCCAAAATATAGATCCAACATCTGAGCATCTTGCTTATTCCAAAATCTCCGTGGTATTCACCTTTCCACTTTCATGATAGACAAAAAGGTTCCTTGTTTGACCATCTGTGTTGTATGTGATCTGCAGCCCATGAGCATGTTGGATTTTCTCTGTCTGGAACATTGCATTCAGATTCTCAATGCTGATAATGGCTTTTGGACCTCTGGACTGTGAAATGAAAAGTATCACTGTGTTAAAGTGCTCTCAGGGAAGGTAATGGAGGACAGATTAGCTGTATGAGAACTAGATCCCTACTGAAGAGAAAGCAGGCATCCTACAATACCTGAATATTGGATATACCTGAAATATAAAGCCTTAATTACATGCTACGTAAAATCACTTACAAAGAGTGACCCGCTTTCCTTGACAAATGCTGGGTCGCTATTTGAGAGGGATGTGTCTAAATTGCAAGGGATGGGTTCTATCTCCAGCCTCATAGTTGGAGAATCATTAACTACACTCTCCCACAGAAGGGAGACATGTTGAGGATGATGCTGCAGCAGTTGATGAGAGAATATTTTGGTAATATAAGAGGTAACAGCTGCTAACAGATCTCTTCTTCATCTTGCTGTTCAACTGCCAGTATCCATTTCCTTTGTTCACTAAGCAAAAGGAGGCTGCAGGGTTAAGATAAGGCATGAGGAAAAGGGCTAAATCCAAAAGAGCAATTGCCTAAGATACCACATATGTTAATGGGGAAACATCTGGGCTGCTCCAAACACAGGCTGCTCTGGCTTCAAAACTAGAGACAAAGCTATTTATGCTGGTGAAGAACAAGGTCTGAGGATGGATGTTGACCAGCTACCTACGGCCAACTCTGGCTGAAGAACTCACTTCTTTGGTGTAGTACTTCATTACCCCTTCCCTTGCTGATAGGAGAAATCGCCTCTTCTGGAACTGTCTGCTTTCCCGCCCACGCTTCCAGAGGAATCCTTCACGGCTACCTGCAGGTCAGACCAAGATAAGTGTCAGAGAAGGGCAGCACAATAGCAGGACTGTTTAGCTAAACGGCAATGTGGCACAGAGTTTCAAGTCTCCTCTCCATCTGAGAATTTTCATCTTATATGAAAAAATCAGTGGAGAACTAGAGAACTGTAAGATCTGAATACACCCTTGCACTTGTCTAAGTGCCTTTTCTTAGGAGCTTCTTCTCAAAGTTAGACACAAGCAAGGCCTGCACATCCAACAGTTCAAATATCACAAGCCAACCTTAAAGATCTTCAAAGTTGCAAACATAACGCTGTGCTGTTGGCCTTAAGGCTAACACCTTTTCCCTGACAATCCTAACTTTTACCTGCAGAACAAGGATCTTGGCAGACTCGGGTGGCAACGAATTCCTCACGCTCATATTTAGCTCTAATCCACTGCTCTCTTAAAACCCTGAAAGAGGAAAACATGGATAAAGCTGATCTGCCTCTACTCTGTTTTCACCAGCCAACCAAAGAGACCTATAGAAGGAAGCAGTAGTTCAATATCTGTAAAGGTCTGCAGTGGTAAATACACCACCAACTTACAAGCAATCACAAGACTGAGGGATGTAATAGTAGGGAGGGACTTTCGCCTCATATTTAGCTTTGGCACAGAGATTCCCATGCTTCTTCATAAACTGAAATACAAAAGAAGTTAAAATCAATACCATGTCATGAACATAAAATGAAACTTCCTTCAAAGGGAGCGCTGCACTTTTTGCTCAGTCTCACCATAACTCTCAGTGCATCTCTACATATGTTTATAAATTCCCTTTGGCACTGTAGTTTGCATTTTTTAGGTAGCTGAGTCTTTTTCAGTATTTACAGTTGTGAGCCAGATGGGAAGGAACACAAGACTGTAGTTGTTGATTAAAAGAACAAAAGAAAACGAGGAGAAGAGAGATTTACGATCTCCCTATATCTTTATCTCTTCCTAGACATTAACTGTGATTACATTATTAACACAATCCAATTGAAAGATGAGACACTGAACCAGTATTTAAGAAGGGTATGTTGATTACCGAATAGAACATACTATCTGGAAATATCTGTGGGCTTCTAAACCACAATGAGGAGTTACTGTGTGCTATAAAATAAATACACTGCAGGCTGTTAGAAACATGATCACCTATCAATGTAATTTGATTTAGTAGATCATAAAAAACCCCCTAAAATTACCCATGGAGTGAAATTGGCTCTGTGCGGCTTTGTTCCTCTGTCCATGGTGGACGACGTAAGAATTATGAGGTAGAGGAGGCTATGATGAAATGTGGAGAAAAGTAAGTGAATTACTGCTTTTTCCTCTGTACCTCTATAATATCGTTCTCCCAGAAGTCAAGCCGAAGGGATTTGACCCTGCTGATTTGAGGAAGATTGCGATGGATTCCAGAGCAATTCAAACAAATGAATATTCCAAGTTTGTAAGAAGCCCACTCTGGATCTAGATGCAAACACAAAGAATGAACTAATACATGGGAAGAGGCACAGCCACCAGCAAGGGCAAAAAAGCACATCTGATGCACAGCCCAGGCTTCACACGTAATACATCAAATCCCACTCCATTGCTTATGGCTGTCACTTCACTGTGTTCAGAGGAAAAGCACTTGCTTTCTTCAATGAAGAATGCGGCCCCTGCATTTGTAGGCTCTTCCACCGACTATTTGTTTAAAAATTAATGTGACTGTGCAGGCAGCCGAGTGGTGATGTAAAAGCTCAGCTAATTATTAGTTCTGCATGGAAAACTGCTGTCGGTGAATTAACAATGGAAGGATGTTGTGGACAAGTGAGCACTACTGAGAGTACAATGGAGTACGACCACCCAGAGTGAGGACTCGTGTCCACTGCCCACGAAAGCTCCTGCTTTTGCCTGCTGCTGCATACCCTGAAGTGACCTCGACAAGTCGATGCTTAGAGGCATTCTGAGTGCTCTAGCAAGACCATTTCCTTAGATCGCCACTTTCACCATGTTGCCCTCTGCTTCTCCCTTATCACATCAAACAGAAGCTACTTGTCATCTTCTTCCAGCTGCTGGAGGCTACCGATTGACTGCTCGCTTTAGTGAGGGTGACTCCCACCTCGGAAAAGCGCAGGGTGCCAGCCCGGTGCGGGCTTCCCAGCAGGGTCTTTGGTGCCTTTCTCTGCGCCAACCCCAGTGCAGAAACATTCCCCCCAGAGCTGGAAAACCACCTCATGCACTCTCCTCCTCCGGCCTTGTGCGCTGTCTACAAATAACTCTGGGGAAGCGACTGGTGCGCTGAGGCCACTTCCTGTCCCACGCTGTCCTCTCCTCACCCCGTGGGGCTCTCGGCGACGCGCCCGGCCCTGCCTGGC